CACTGACTCTTTGAAATGCTCTTTTGTTGCAGTTATTTTCCTGATTTTTTTGGAAAATGAAGAATTTATTGTCTTTCTTCTTTTTTTTTTTAAGTTAATTTATAGTCACTTGGGTCAAAATGCACTCTTAATTTTGAATGCGCTATTAAATGGTTTTGGCAATATTTTTCCTCTAGGAAATTTCAACAATGAGAAACAATAAACTCATGTTTCAGTGTTTTATTCAGAACCAATATGTACACAACTTACTTGTGATCTTACAATACAAAAAAGCCAGGAGGATAAAAAAAATTAGAAGAAGACAATTAAAATCAGTAATTCCAGGCTTGACCTCAGTTCAACTCTGTTACTGGGCTATTATGTACTGTGCAGTTGTCTTGTCAGGAGTTGCATGTGGTTTTTATGGATGCATGGTGTACACAGCATTTGTGCATCACAGCCCTGCCCTTGCAGGGTCTTCCTCTGGTGGTCTCCCACTACTACTACACATTTTGGATGTGAGCAGAGAGACAAAGCCAGCAGTCTTCAGAATCATGGATGAAGGGAAAGAATTTAAGTTTTAAATAATTTTTAACAGAAGCTGGGAGAATCTGGGAAGATTTTTTTATGGAGTTGTTGGGGTTTTTTTTTAATTCTTGTTTACAAATTAAGAGGGTGTACATGCATAAGCACATAGACACCTTCCTTCATCTACCTGCTGTAACTCTGTGTTTTAATCCAAAACACACAGTAATTAAGTTGGAATGTAATTTTTGTGAGAGAGAGTAGAGTAGAGAGAGAGTAGAAACTCCTCTTTGTGTGGATTTTCAGTGCATTAAAATAATCAGCAAATGTAGAATAATTGAAAGAGGACTCTGAGCAATACTGAATTCCAAAGTAAGTAAAAGAGGAAAAAAGTTGGAGTGGTGCAATATTTGTGAAGTAGGAGTTGGGAAAGATAATTACATTGCAGTGTAAGAGTTCATATTTTCATCAGAAAGACAGTGAAAAACATAACCTAGGTTATTACCATACTTCTCTGGAAAATTATGTGAATTTTTTTAGTGATAATGTAAACCTATTTGTTTTATTTGGACTTCTCAAACTGTGTAAAGGACACTCACTTTCCTAAATATCCTTTGATTTGTATGAAATACGAGATTATATCGGTTTGGAATACTTTTGCAGAATACAGTGATTATTTCTGGTTGTTCTTTTGTTGTGAATTTTTCTGTGCCTTTAAATCAGAATTGGAGAATACATCCATCATCTGTTCTGTTTTAGAGAGAACTATCTGCCGCATCCTGGTAATTTTCATTTTGTCCTGTGTTGACTCTTGCAAGAGAAGTACTTCAAAATCAAAAGGAAAGAACAAAAGATACAGCTTTCCTATTATTGTTGGCTTATTCACATTAGGCTCTCATGCTTATTTATTATAGGTTCAGTGCTTAATTTAGTACAAGCCCTGATGGGTGCAGCTAATTAAATTTTATTATAGCCTTCCATGTTCTATTTGAATATGATTCCTTTTTTATATCCTTGTCATTGAAGCTGATAGTAAAACACCCATTGATTTTAGCAGAATTAAATTCTGTTAGGATCTAGTAGTCAACAGAAATTCCTAAGACAGACAGAATTCTTGGTGAAGTGTCCTCATTGCATCTTGTATCTATCTCTTTTTTTCAGTTATGCAATGTACAATGACTGAGTTAAAATTTAGAAGGAAATTATTCAGAACATTTATAGAAGACACTTTGAGCTCTGTGTTGCTGCACTGTTTATTTATACAAGCCTGTAAAAACCTTTTTATTTGAATTACAAACTGGTAAAAATTAGAGTGATAGCAAATATTTCATTACACTGTCATTTCCATAAGCACTCTTTCTTATAAGAAAGTGTTTTTTAATTTTACTACATGCAGTTGAGATTTTCACAAGCATGAGAGGGAAGTCAGGAGTGTGTAAGTAGATTGGCATTTTCAGGGATTCTCTTCCTTGTCAGCATCCTGAGTTAAATAATATCTTAACATTTAACGGAAACATAAATGCCCTAAAACACCAGAAGTAGATTGCAGTGTCTTTTTTGTGCAAGTACAAAATGTAGTTGTTTACAAATACACACTTCATCTGCAGTGATGGCCAGCTGATTTCACTTCTTTAGATTCTGTGTTCCAGGATATCATCATGTAGTCTAGCAAAGCAAAGAATGCAATACATTGATCCAGTCATGTGTTGTGAGATGTAATTTGTTACCTTCTCACAGAAGAAAAATAATTTCTGCTGGAAATACTGAATTATGTCTTTGCACTTGAATTTTGCTGAAGTAAGCTGTGAGGTGAAACACTTCTGGCTCTGGGCATTGACTAAGAATCTAAGGTTTTCTGCCTAACAGTTCCAGGCTCCTTGTTTGGCACCATCCCTAACTCAGTGCACTCTGATAATTCATCCCTCCATTTTATGTGATAACTCAGTGATGCAAACTGAAATTTTTGTTGCATGAGGTGTGAGCAGCTGCAGTCAGTCCTCTGTGCTGATACCATCATGCTAAAATCCAGATCTCAGGATACATAAGGCGTTAACCCAGCACGACCTTCAAACATTGCCAAAGCATAAGTAGCCAGGAGAATTCCCAGGAAGCTCCAAGAGCAGTTGTGGACATGCCTGTGTGGTGAATTTGTGGACACGTCTGTAGGTTATTACACACTTTGAGCACTGATGCCAAGGGATTAGTTTTTCAGTGGGAGTGTTGTGATGAACAGAATTCTTTTCTAAAGACAAGGACAGATGCTATGGCTTATAAGTCTGTCTTCTCTTAGGACACAAGAAAGAACTACCTTCCATATATGCTTGTACTAATCTCATTGCCTTCTCTGTAATGGCCTGCCATCATTTTGTAAAGTTTTTGTGGCCCAGAGTCTTCCTTCCAGCTTCTAGTGGTCTTCATAATTTCTCCTATGTTTACTGGCTCTCAGTTTTTCCTTTGTTCTTCCAGTCTCTCACAGCTGCATCTGTTCCTACAAATAATTTTTTCCCTTTCTGTCTGGATTGGCAATGTAATGCTAATGTCTTAAATCATGTAGCTCAAAAGACCTGTGCAGCAAATATGAGCATTTGGGATTCAAACATTGTGTCATGTAAACAGAGCATCTCAGGAAGGATATTTTATGTAACATTGCCTGTTTTCTTAGATGTTCAGCCTTTCCAACCCCTTGTGCAAAAATACATGAAGATAATGGCATTTGCTTGCAGCTCTGAACTCTGTCGTGTTGATAGCTTGCCTGCCCAACCTTCAGGCTGCTCCCTTCTCCACCAGGTTTCTGCACAAGGATTGTCTTCTTTTACTTGCTCATGGAACCTTTTTTTCCATAGGGAGTCAGCTTGAGAGTCTGAAGGTTGCCAGAGCAGTTGGCTCCCCATTGCTGCTCTAACCTGGCATCTCCCAGCTTTGAGCGCAGGACTCTGGGCAAGTGTTAATGAGCCTGCAAGGATATGTAGTCAGCCCTAAGGCTGATTAAACTCTACAAAAGAGTGTGTACTAATCAAAGTTTATATCCATCCATCCATGGATGCCTGGAAAGCTGAGAGGCAGCAGCAGTATAACTGACTTACATCACAGCCAGAGCTGTGATGGGAGGGAGGAGAGACTTCCTGGAGTACTGAGACAGTCAAAGCTAGGATGTACAGTCTGCACTATGGGAAGTCCTAGAGACTCCTGTGTACAGGAGCCAGACTGATGCTGCAATCTCCAGGTTCTGCAGTGAAATGGTAGTGAGGGAGGTGAGAGAGATGGTAGCCTCTGGGAAGCGTTTGTGCCTTACAGGATGTTGTGCTTCAGAGGAAAACTGCACTAAGCATCTGTCACTTCTATAACAGGTATGAAGATACCTACCTGAGGAAAAATTAATAATGGGAGAAGGATTAGTGCTTGGCAGTAACTGGTACTGCTACCAACAAGATAGTGTCTCTCTTTCCTTCAGCTGGAAGCAAAAAATAATTCCTGTGGGCAAGTCACAAAATCTGGGAGCTGTCTTCAGTAAAAAATATGCTATTTTAGTAGATTTTTCAATAATTTCTCTTAATAGGAAGTAAAATACTAGTGATAGACAAATCACTAATGTGTTTGGTTTAGCCCTTTGTACTGTGCTTAATGGAGGAGTACAGTGTAAGCTTTTTCCTATGAGTTGGTATTCTGTGAGATTGGAACCATGATCAGTGTATTCAATTCCTTTGCACTTGAGAACACCGTTAAACTGCTCTTGGAAAGGAGCAGGACTCAACTTGCCAGGTCATTGCTACCTCTGCCTGCTGTAATTTCAGAGGTGGAACCAGTGCCACATAACAGTTGCTCTGTGGTTTGTATTTCCAATCACCAGATAATCCAAGAGGGGCAGGAAGGGTCTCTCTTTTTTTTCAAACTTACCTAATTATGGCTTTTCTTATATACCTCCTTTTTGTAATCCTGAAATAGATTAAACAGACCAGATGAAAAATGCAGGGGTTTTTTGGTCACATCTAAGTATGCTTGTACTGCAGCTTGGCTAAAGCTCATTGAATTATTTCCAATAGCCCAAAAACTGTTTAAAAACTGCTGTCCATGTGTTTCCTTTCATAATTGTTTGAATGGCCTTTTTTCAATTCTGTGAACATTGTTAACTTCTGACATTTCGTTAAACTGTTAGAGGAAGTTGAGATTAGTCAGGTCGTTTCAGATCAACACAACAAAGTCATTCAGCTGCGATAGGAGGGATGGGGAAATGCCTACACATTTGAGTACCAGGCTGGATACCAAATGCCATACCAAAGAGGGACATTGCCCCACTGCCCATCTGGCTTCTTCTCTTAGAGCAAAAGAAGGTCGATTTACCACAGGGGATTCAAATTACAGGCCTCTCATGGGAAGAGAGGAAAGGCTGTTAGCTGGTTTTTTATTTCTCTATTCAATTAATACTTTTCTTCTTTTTTTTGCCTTTTTTTTTTTTTTTTAATAATAAGAGCCCAAGTTAGCCTAAGTAAACTCTTGTACATCCCTTCACCTTCCAGCATAAGAGTTCAAGGGATCTGGCTGGTACAGAGTGGCAGAGACAATGAAGATGATTTCCAGCAACAGTTTGTGCTGGCTTTGTGTGTTTGGAATTTGGAAGAGCCCAAGGTTGCTCTGCATTTCTTTTATAGAGGTGTAACACTCTTCACTAAGGGAAGGCTGAATCTCACCTACCCTGTCTGCCATCCTTGCGCCCAAGAGGGAGGATTTGCATTACTAAAGTCCTTTGTTATGGAAATATGGCTGCTATTTAGGGTACAGCCAGATTCACAACAATAGACAAAAGATCATATCCTGCCTCTGTGAAACTTGCCATGAGCAGATTACTCTTGACTGGTGTTCCTAAGACTAGGTTTATTAAGCCTTCGAAATAATTCCAGCGTTTATGATGCCACTAACTCCCTATTTTTACAGGTTGGCTCAGGTTCAAGTGTCATTTTGTCTGTCCTCTTGATACACTGTATACCAAAGGAGTGCAAAGCTAGGGGTAAACTCTACAGCCAAACTCCTGCTAATTATGATTTCTTCTCTGAATAACTAGTTGTGGTATCAAAGATGTAGCAAAATGTGCTATTAATGCAGTGGCAGGAGGGTGTTGCATTTTTCTAAACTAACTGATCTGTCCTAAAACAACCTCGGTCTATAAAAACACGGAAAATATGAGTTGCAACTGCATGAACTGTTCCTGCTTCTACTCCTACGAACTAGGAGAAAATAAGTTTAGTTAAAGAATAACAGAAGGGGACAGTTTTTGTTCTCTGAGTGCACGTGTTTATACAACTTTCTGTAGGCAGCCAGCTACCCCATCATAGCCATTGCAGTAAGTGATGGGCTTCAGCTTCTCCAGAAATAACCTCTTACCTAAAGATGCACATTTTTTCATTCCTTTCCTGTCTGCTTTCATAGGTAACTCATGCCCCAATGAACCCCTTTCAGGCAGATTTATTCACCCGATTTGCACCTTGGTAATAAATTGCCATTTAGTGGCATCAAAGGAGAATGTAAGTGACCACAATCGTCCGCACCTTCCCTGAGAGCTCGGGAGACTGTCCCATTTCGTTCCACAATCCCGATCTGCACTGGAATGTCTATCCTTACCTCTGAGGACAAACTGCAAGTAAATTTCAACCACAGAGTAAGCTTGTGAAAAACCTGGCTTCTATGGTTTTATTGTGAGAGCACCACATCGTTTTCTTTAACACATGATTGAGTCTTTTACCTTCATCCCATGTGTTTATACAGGGAAAATCAGGCCATTGGACAGCAGAATGTTTAAACATTGCATATGCTTCCCTGTGCACTGTGACTAAAACAGGTCTCATAAAATTAATTTGATAAAATTATGTTCTCTGTTGAATCAGGGATAGAAACTCATCAACCTAACTTTATCCAGTATGTGAAGTGACAGGAAAAGAATCACATGGTAAGATCCATATGAAAGCTACAAAAAGAGAAGTTTTAGAAGTCATCAAAATGCACATAAACAATTTTCTGGCGAGGGCAATCTAGACCTCTGGCTTACTTGGGATGCTTGCCATCAATAGGAATCTTTCTCTTTGCTTTCAGTGGGCACTGGTTCAGCCCTTGGAGAAGTTGCTTTTGAAAAGATTTTGGCAGTTAAGGGAAGATTCCATGAGAAACAGCAGGACTCCACTTTCCATGCAAGGATCTGGGTATGCTTCAGCAGCTGTTATTCAGATGCAGCTGGACCTGCATCACAGTTTGCTTGCTGTATTGTTGAGTGTGAAATAATAAATTTACTTTTTTTAAAACTCACTGAAATGGTGAGCTCCAAAGTAAAACATGGGACATAAGTGGGTAAGTGGGAAGTGCCTTTTTTTCTTTTTTTTTTTTAATATTTTTCTCTTTTTTATATTTTTCTTTTTTTTTTTTTTTCCTTTTTGTGGGAGGAGGGGTGGGGAGTATGGGTGCTGTTTAGTTTGGTTTTGGTTTTTTTTCATGCAGTAATAACTCATACAAGAATACACCTCTGAAGTACCCTCAGCGTGCTATGTCATTCTAGGATGGATCTTGGTTTGTTGTTTTGACTCCTTGGGCAAAAAATTACTCAGACTCTGGGATTTGTGTGTCGTTGCATTGTGGGCCCCTGTGTACTTGTTCTTTGCATGTTAGTTATTTGTCAGTAGCATTTCTCTCTGGAGTATTTTATAGCACTTGAACCACATGGAAAGTATGCATCAAGCTTAACTGCTAAATTTGGTGAATAATCTGTTGTGTGTAGATGTTGTCATGTATTTCTGGGGAAGAAAAAACCCACTAAGGGCACTCTGTCCTCTTAAAAAACACTTGTAAGAAACGGTCACAGAGCTTTAAAAGATCTTCTCTCTTCTACGTGTGTGTGAATTTCCATGCGATTCACTGCCTTCATTACTGACTGGAGCCACAAACCTCAAGCCAACAGACAGCTGGAGAGAAGCTGTGAATTTTTTGATCACATTTATTTCAAAACATTTAGCCAAAGTGTATCTGAAGTCATGGAAGACTCAGAACTCCATTCTCTGTAGTTTCTTTCTCCGTCAGCCCCATCACTTGTTCATTATATCACACTGCATTTTAGACTTACTAGTCCACTTTTGCTTCCCCTCACTGCCAGCTGTCCCTGTTCTGGCAGTCCTGATGACAGCTCTCCAGCAGGTGAATGGACAGTTGTGTAGCTCATCAGGGCTCTCAGAGGAGCCACTGACCTGCACACTCAAGCAGAAATAGTGAGTCTCTTTTAGGAGTCTTAGGACATTCTGGTGCTGACCTGTTTTGGAGGAGGCACCACTGACACACAACATGCACAGGAACATGCACCAACCCACGGTTGCTTGAGCCCCTGAGGTACCCCTGAGGTCATGAAGTGTGCTGGGCTGTGATCAGTGGCTTCCTGTGGTCCTCTTGATACCCATTCCACCAAGAGGATGAATCTGTGGTGGCAGTCAGCTCGGCAGCCTGGCTCTCTGGAAAAGTGAAACGTCCTGGTTCTTGCTCTAGGGATTTTGAGCTCATGTTGTGTCCTGGCCTGAGCAAATGCCGGAGGGGCACTTCCCACTGCCAGCAGAGAGATGGGAGCATCGTGGGTGGATTGAGCTGGACATAACACAGGTACAGTCATGACTGCTCCAGGCTGTATCCAGACACTCACACCTGAGGAGGGTGCCTTCCAGCTGCCAGATAGAAAATCTCTACTAAAATTGGTGTAAATGTGTGGGCTGCTTTGCTGTTCTTACTTTGGAGACTTACAAAGGAGACAAAATCCCTTACTGAGCACACAGAAATAATAGAAAATTAATGGAAAGATAGTACACTAGCAAAAGCTGTATCAGGATATGTGCGGCTCCACCCAAAAGCCTAGAGGTGTGAAGACAAAAAAAGTATCAGTGTTTCCATCTTCACAAGAACATTAGTAAGATACTCCCAAATTTCAGCAAGCTCTTGTCAGCCAGATGTTCAAAAGCAGTCAGCTAGTCACTACATACTCCTCTGGAGTGAGGTTAGAACTGCAAAGCTGTAAATGACCTCAGCAAAAGAGAGCTGAATTTCTTAAAAAACCTGCAAGTGGGGCAGTCAAACATGCAAATACGTCACACACTCGTAGCTGGTGCAAAAGCCTACCCACACTGCTAGTGGCTCCACATTAGACTATTAACCTTAAGGGACAAATGGAGAATCCTGTACGTAGAATCCTGTAGGGAATGTGGTACGAACTGTCATTCTCCTTAATAAATAATTTCTACAGCTTTAAAGGTTTGGATCCTCCACAGTATGTATTTTTATTTGCTAATATTAAATGAATCCCTCTTGGAGGAGATGGGTTCTGTTGGCTGGAAGTCCTTACAACTTTTAAGGCCAACATAGCACTAAATAAACTGAAACGATTTGAACTTTTTAGACATTTTATGCTGTGATTTAGTTATTATAGAAAAGGCATTTAGGAGCGGGGTTTTTTGCCTTCAAGAATTTTGGAGTAGTCCTTCATTTTCAGTTTCAAGATGACCAAATAGTTCCAGTAATTTCTGAGCTCCCTGCCAGTTTATTATTAGTGCAACTGGCTACAAACCAGCTGACTGATGTCAGTCTCATAATAAAGAACGACAAAGCCGGACAAAGGTCCCATGAGAAACCAAAGAAAGAGGATCAAACACAATTGTAAACCTGTGCAAAAGGCTACAAGATCTCTGGCAACAGTTTTACCACTTTTTATAGCACTCTTTATTCTATTCTATTTCTTTTTCTTTCGAAGATATTTGCACATTGCATTATTCTCTGTTTTGTTATTTGTCTGTTTGGGTTTTTTAGTGTCATGTAATGGAGTACACAACTATTCTTATGTAATGTGAGTGCATAACTATTTAATATGACTCATGAATATGTCCCAGAAGGTAGAGCATCCCTAATTATTTGCTGTGTTGTCAGCTGTGATCTCAGGTTTGTGTCTTGCAGTTGTTTAAATTAATTGTAATTGCGAAGAAAATCATCTTTTCCAAGGCTGCAACAGCAATTTTTCTAGTTATTGTGTGCATCGGAGTATAGCTGCACACACCCAGAGATCTCCAGACATCCATAAACCTTATGGATCCTGTTTCTGCAGAAACAGAAAACAAGCAGTTTTACACAGAAAACTAGTACAACCCCCCCCCCCCCCCCAACTGGGTCCTTCCTTCATCTTTCTATTTGCAACTTAATCTGTCTGATCAATACTAGATTTTTAAGGGTGGTGTTATAGAAAGGTCATTGCAAAAAAGAAAAAAAAATAACAGTTGTAAGAAGTTACATGGATCATTCAAGACAGGACTAAACCAGATTGTCATCTGGTTGTCTTGGACTTAGCTCTAGATTAAAAAAGACAACAGATTTAGGTTCCTCTTCAGTACTCTGCCTAATTTTTACTGCCCTGCCATTCAGGATAGGTTAATGGAGGGAGAGTTGTATCTCCAAGGGTAAGATCTGTGGAAACCATCGTTGCCAAAAATGACTTCTGACCTAGCCAGTAAGAATGCTGTAGAAAAGGAAACACTGTATGTAATGCTGCAGGGAGTTACCTTAGTCAGAGCTGCAAGGACATGGCATGTGACTCTTCTCTCCTTATAGCCATGAAAAGTTGTTTTCCATATTTACATCTGAAGTCCATTCAGGGATAAATAGGATTTGGTCCCTATTGGGATCAAATCCGATTTATTGAAGTTGTCCTTGGGATCCAGTACAACATATCCTGCAGATCAGTACATCTCTACAAAAGACATCCAGACTTTCACATGCAAGGATCAAAAAAAAAAAAAAAGAAAAAAAGAAAAAAAAAATGGGAAGAGGGATGGGGGCAGTGGGGGAAGCATTTTAAAGAAAATTTGGGTCTCAACAACTGCTTTTATCTCATTTCCATTGACTGAAACTGTATCTTTGCTGTCATCTCTGCTACTCCTCTGGTGATAAAAAGTTTCCAGCCTTCAGGCATTATGAATATGTAAAGCATTCCACCAGATTCAAATACCATCTTTCTTCAATGCAAATCTACAAGGGTGGTTTTCAAGCATACAATAGGCAACACCTAACCTTGAAAAACTCACTCTTTTTCAGGAGATGGTAATGTGCTCTGGGAGAAATTCAAACTTGACTCAAGCCAGACTATCAATTCAAATAAATTGCCTTTAGGATAGAATTCTTTATTTCCAGATTTCTGCATGGTATGAAACACTGGCATTTACAGAGGGCAAAAGTTTGACTACAAAAGCACAAAAAGCCTCATGATGTCATTTGTTCAAGGGGTCCATCAGTACATTAAAAGGAAAGAAAAACAAAAAAAGCTTTTGCTTTACATTTTTTTTAATGGCATCTAAAGATTAGAGAAGACTCCTGTTACAGTATTCAGGGTTCTTACTTTTTGCATTTTCAAAATTTTTAATTGTTCATTATTATGGCCCTTTCTTCTAGTCCATTTACAAGCTGCAGTAAACGCCTACATAGGTCAAGATTTCTCAAAGGCTGAAAGGCCTCTCTTCAGCAGAAAGAATTCACAGAATTCACAGTAAGGCCCAGAATACAAAAAAGAGAACAGAGAGAAATCACCATGGAGGAGGATTACCCCAGGCTTTATGGACTAGACATCACTGGCATCACTGAATGCCTTCTTATCAATATGGTTAAGGCCAGAACTTACCATTCTCTCCTCTGAAACTCTCCTTCTTACCTCTCCACAGGGTTTCCTGTGCTTAGTAAGAGTTTGTCAAATACACAATGCAAGGAGGGTCCATGGGAAAGGACATGCACTGTGCATTAGGTACTGAAACAAAAACTATATGAAGTAATGTTCCCTTCCTACTTCCCATTCACCTTCCCTAACTTCTTCCCACAGATGAATGTTAATCCAACCGAAAGTTGTTGTCACCAGATGGAAGGGCACAGAAATGTAGAAGGTGGGCGTCCATCTTTGTACACAGTTCCTGTGTCAGAGATTAATTAGACTCTGCCATCTGTAAATGGATCCTGAGAACTACATGGAACTGGGACATTTGTTTCACATTTGTATGCAAAGACAGAAGCACTGGCTGCACAGTGGTCTCCTGACTCTGAACTGTGGCAGTGGTTCTATACAAACTCAGAGGGAAATGTGCCAGCAGTACCACTGAACATGCATTACATGTAATACAGCAGGAAATTTGGACAGCAGCTTGTTATAACACTGTTTTGGAAGTGCATGAGTCACTATGTATCAGGAATGTGAACCTTTCTCAGCATGTTTTTGTGCTAGATATCCTCTCATGCCATTTGAGAAAGCCTGAAGGGCCAAAGCTGAGTTAGTTTATCCGGGATCTTCATACTCGAATATCTAATCCATTTTGGTCACCTTTCCTTCTGTTTACAAAAAACCAGAATGCAATCCAGTAATTTCTTCCCCCATTAAACTTTATTTAAAACACTTGTGTAATTTGCACTAATTTCCTTCTAAATCAGAGCTGACCAGTGAGCCTTTCACCTCTGCTTTTGCACTGACTGACTTCTCTGATGCCTTCAGATGAAGCTCCCTCACTTTTCACTCCACACCACCGTGTGTACAGTACTCCTTCATTGTTCTGTTTCAAGATGTTTCTTGCAAGACCAGACAGCAATGCTGATAAAATCACATATGAGCTCTGCATGCACTAAGCATGCCAGGAGATGCCTCTGCATTTCCTTTGCTTCCTTTCTTTTCTCCCACTGACAGTTGTTTCTATCTCCAGAACTGCAAATCTGTCTCTGGAGCCTTAGGATTCAGTCAGGACTCTGAATTACACCGATGGCAAAAGGTTCCTCTCTCTAACCAATGCCATTATCTTGGCAACATCTTGCAGTTTTTTCTTACATTAAAATCCAGCACCAAACTGAATTATCCTTCTCTTATCAACCTATTAAAATAGGTTTATTTAATCTGATAAATACAGATAAGCACATATGCACACAGTCTTTCTCTCTTTCTCCACCTGCTCTCCTTACCTTGCCCCCAACCCCCATTTAAATACAGTGTATTCCAAATTATAAAAATGCAAGAAAAATCAATGTGGTTGTCCTCAGAGCAGACTGCAGACAAATGGGAAGGCTTCCATCTTGCAAACAATTAGATGTGTTGTATTGAATTGAACTTTTGAGCAGCAAACAAGTCTCAGTAAAGATGAGTCACACTTAGGAAGGCTCTCAGATGAAGACTGACGGATCTGTGATGGTGTCAGTGCTGAGTCTTATTCACAAAGTCTTCAGTGCCTAACAGGCCTTTTAGATATCAGCACTTTGGTGTATTCACCATGTCTGGGACCCAGCCCTCCTGTGTCTGCAGTCATCCCCGAGGTCATGAGAGTTCTCAGAGCCTGCCTCACAGGTGAGAACGAGGGAGATGCACAAAACTGGGCTTCTCCAGCCTTTGCGTCTTACTGGTGTGGGTGAGCAGGAATAGCCAGAGCTGTCCCTTGCTTAACTGTCCCCTGAATCACAGCCAGGAAGCAGACAGGTCCTGCCCATGTCCAGCAGTCCCGCAGTAAAAGGACTTGAATGGGAGATGGGGGATTTGGGAGAGTGAATTCCCCCTTCTTTTCCATAATACATGTGGAGCAGATTTACAGTAAAGATATAATCTATCAGAGGTCTTCCTAATCATCAGCCCCACAGAACCAATTCTTTCAGTTGTCTTTACATGTGACAAAGTCAAAGACATACCAAAGTGATGCCTGATTTCTAACCAGGACTGAGGCGTTTTTTGTTTTGCCTTTTTTTTAATTTTAGAAAACTAGTTAATACTTTTTGAACAAAGACAGTACAAATGACTTGATAGAACACAAGCCATACCATGAACATACCCGGCAAATACAATCTTAAAATTGCATTGCATGTAACTTTTTAACTGTGTAACATGTTTTATAGACCTGCCTTTATATGCTGTAAGTAGGCACCCTCCTATTTCTTCCTATAGCTTTCCTTTTACATTTCATTAAGCCGAGAAACACAGTGTAAAACATGACACAGAATTTACACAGATTCATGGTTACAAAAATTTTTTAAGAGTACAGGTAACTGAGCAATAAAAATCATGCTCAGTTCTGGGTACTTCTGCCAGCCTGCTGTGGCTGCTCCAGCATAAGTTAATTTATCACAAACTTTGTGGACTCTTAAGCAAAACAAAGCTGAATTTCACAGTAAATGACTGCAGCACATACCCTCTGCTAGCTCCTGAGTCTGGGATGGGATGCTCCTCATTTGCCTATTTTCAACAAATTCAAGGTCTTTTTATGTGTCTCAATTGCTTTAGTCATACAAAGTGTGTACAGTGTGTGTGTAGCCTGATAATATATTATCATTTGGGAATTTAATAATTTTAATAATAATAATAACAACAACAATAATATTGTTAGAGAACTGAACAAGCTGAGTCTGTGCCCTGAATCTATACCCATGACAGTAGTATCTGTGACATTTCTGTGACATTTATCTTCGCAGTACCTACCTGCAGCATTGGACCACTGTTTTCCCTGCCTGAAAGAAGGGAAAGACACAAGGTGTACATTAGCTCATGCCTTGCATTCCCATTCAAGCCCAAGATCCTGAGAGCCCACACCACTTTGTTGATTCACACTCTGATGCAATCCTGCAATCCAGGAAGGGAAACTCAACAATACTGCGATGCCTTTTGTGCCTGAAGGTGAATCCCTTCTTCCAAGATATCACCACCACTTAAACCTGTGCCTTTGCACACTCCAAGTCCTCCCTCCTCTGACATGGCTAAAAAATCATGGACCTAGCTGGAGGGATGTAAACAATTCAACCAGGGTTCTGTAGAAATCTAGAGACTACCTTTACCTTAAAAACTACACTGTTGTTCCTCACTTCTTACTAATAAAATGCACAATGATCAGCAATATCATCCCTTTGTCTTGTACTGAGGGGGTGATAATTTGGGGGTATCATCACAAAAGTTTTCTTCTTTTTTTCACATACATATGAAATTCTTCTGTGTGTCTGTGTTCCCTTCAGAAAGCTTTTGAAGGCTGGAAAGTTAAAAGAACACTGATTGGTTTTAGTGCAGTGCACCACATATTGTTTCTATCATGCAAGAATTGCTTAACCATGGTACACTTCAGCAGCACAATTTATTACAAACCTTGGAAATAATTTCAGGAGCCCAAGGACCTCACGGACCTTAGACCAAGTTTCAGCAAACTGCTCAGATATGTGATCACTAGGCAGATGTCTGGAAACGTGTTCTTGCACATTTATCTGCTAATGCAAACGTCCCAATACAGACATTAACACTCAGAAGCATTATGTGGATTTTAAACAATTCCTGGAAGAGTTGGGTCCCATAAAAGTTTTTCTGACAGATGTAATCCTTCTCCTCACCTTTGCCAAGTGCTTGCTCTGAGTACAGGAGCCAGAGCACAGAGTGAGACTCCTGCCTGCTTCCACTGCTTCTGGTGCTCCAGACACTACAACGTCCTTGCCCAGGGCTGACTTCACTCTTAGGTTGTTTTTATTCTGGTTGGGAAAGAAGCAGCAATGTGCAAAGGAAAGATAAAACAGGAGATAAGAGAATATTTTTATGTTTTCTTCTGCACAGATGACTCATTTGAGACAGGTTTATTCCTCTTCTCTCTTGGGGTTAATGCCTTGGGGAGAACAGCAACAAAATGAAGGCTCTTTTTGCTGCTGTGGGAAATAATTCTTTCTCTCACCCTGTTCTGTGAGGTCTCTCAGGCAGTGGCTGTGAGGGTGCACATCACATAACACAATTGGCTTCAATCTTACTGGGGCCTCACAGTATTAGTGTAATGAAAGTAAATACCAAGTGGTCAGGGCTTAATTATAATCTGGACATTCTGTGCTCTGGCAGTAGATTAGAGGACACACTCACTTGTGTTTAAGGCACTGAATCTGCTATTGGCATGAGGGTGAATCCATCAAAAGAGACAAGACACTGAAGTGAAATCCCATGTTTCCTGCTCAGAGTACAGAATGCAAACTAAGAATGAAGTGTAAGGTTTCAGTAACTGAACACTCTGTATGTTGGAGCAGCTCCAGCTGTGGCTTTTTGTGTTCAACTCTTGATGACTATTTCAAGGAATCAAATACTATTTTATAGAAGATGGAGAAGCAAAGCTTCCATTAGATTAGGGTATTAGGTATTAGGACCCAAATACTCACCGTAGTGCTTTGAGGAAGAATTCTACATAATTAATGTTGCAATCATCTGTTGATCTATTCTCCTCCATTCTTAATTGTCTTTTGAGCAGGAACTGGCTTGATTATGCCCTATGAGAAATAATTCAGATGTGCAACAAATAAATATGCTCTGCAATTTCTACTGAAGCAGGTTTCCTTTTTATTTAATTCTTCCAGTTTTAGGGTTCTGGTGACAATTTGTCCATAGTTATTTCACTTTCTCAGCCCACTCATCATTTATTTTTCTAGTTGCTATCACTTACATGGCTAGGCTATTGTAACTGTATCAGTAAGGGAGATATGTCCAAGGTTTAATTTTATCCAATACAGTTCCAATTTCTCAAAAAAACACTTAAGTGCTATAAACTTGTGAATAAAGTTCTTCAGATCTAGACACCAGAAAAGAAAATCTCAAGTGAAGAGGAAATAAAAGCAGTGTTGATAACTATTATAGCATAGCATACTATGCTATAATAGTGACTAATAGTGTTGCAAAAGGTCTGCCACAGATAAATTTCCATAGTCATTCTGAGTATTTTGGCTTGGCCTTAGCTTCAACGTAAATTGTGGAAGAATATGACTTAGGAGTACTGTAATGGCTCAATCCACTGTTAGGAAATGTGTATGGTAAGAGATCACTGCTGATCTGAAGACCAACATAAATGAAGCACTGAAGGGCTGCAGTCGGGGGGTTCATCCTCCTAGCAGCAGCAGCAGCAGCTCAAGCATTGGGCCAGGAGAAAAACCCAGATCTACCTCTTTTTGGGTCTCTCTGCTTGTGTGTGCTCCCATGCTGTACTTCTAGTGGTGCTTCTACTGATAATCCAGGCCATCCTCAAGTGCTACAGGACTGGAAGCTGCTGCCTGGCAATGGTTGCGTTGCAGTTTGGTGCTTGCTTAAAGCACAGGGAGTCAGGTCAGGGGTAGGCTGCTGCTGCCAAGCAGGGAGAAGCAGCAGGAACAGACCCCTTGTCTGCTGCAGCCTGAACACACAGCTTTGATCTGCCAGTGGAGCACACCTGGTCAGAGTTGCAGGGACACACATATTCCTCCAAGCTTATCTCCTTCTCTCTGTTGAAATGGGTATATGGGTACCCAAACATGCACAGAACCAGGCGCAGGGGGCTGAGCTACCACTTTAGGTGTGTCATGGTTCAAAACTGGGTCCCTTTAACACATCAGTGGCAGATTCTTCCTGTGCAATTGGTTAGCCTGTAGAAGTTCACCTCGTGAGATGTATGGCTGCTGCCAGAGTTACCTCTGTTTTGCTAACTGCTTTGACAGGAAAGCATGATCAAGAAGGGAAGAAAAGGGAAATCAGAAGCCAGAGAACACAAATTCTGCAGCCTCTAAATCACTTCTATTTGCAATAATCATAAGACCTTTTTAATGAGTTTCACTCAGACATGAACCTTCTGTGAGTACCCTTGAGAGACTCTTCCTTTCAGAGTCTCCTACTGCTTCAGAGCAATATTTGTAATTGAAACAAATTATGAAAACCAATAAAGAGCAACAAGGAGAGTTTCTTAGCCCTAAGGCCATCTGATAGAGCATAGCTGATGGCCACACAACTGCATTTTCTTCCTATCAAAATAGCATGTCTGCATGCAAAATTGCCATGGGGAATGCTCCCCAGCCTGTGATAGTGAGTTCTGAACAACACCACTTCTGAGCTAACATAAAAAGAGTACCATCATGTGCCAGTACCTGTTTAGTGTGAGTTGGCCCCACTTAATTAACTTGTGGAGATGTAGCCTGAAGTGT